TAGCAGACACTCTTTACAGATGTTGCAAAATGCAATGTAAGGGGCAAACCCCCAACTTCACTCCACACAAAATATGAACTACCGACTGCAATTTCGTTAAATGGCATGAAAAAAACACAAAAAAAAACAAAAAAAGAGTAGGGAGCATCACTTGTTCACAGGGGGGGGGGGCTCAATTACAGTGGGGGGGGGGGGGGGAGGGCACGCACAGCCCCCCCCCCTTTGGTTGGAACCCTGGAATGTATTAGTACCTTTGACGTATCGGAAAGTGTACGTGGTTAGGTGAGGTCTCACTTGTACTTCACGGTGAGGACCATTCAAGTTCAAACACCTGTGAGCTTTGAGCATTACTTGTACAGTACATAATTATTGTAACAGAACATTTAGTCCTCGGACGCAAAGACTGGGCTGACTTACGTCATACTGAAGAGGAAATGCATTCCCTTCTCGTCCACTTCTCCGACCAACGCGACCGCCTGCTTCTGCGAATGGACCTTGGCCGCTCTGAAGCTGGGTATCACCGTCATGTCGAACTCCACGCACGGCTGCGTGCCGAATATAGAGTACTTGAAGTGGAAGTAGTGTTCGCCATCGCTGGGCGCCTGGCCATGCTCGCTGCCAGGCCTCTTCTTCACCTTCCTGGGCTTACCAGCGGCGGGCAAGGCCTCATGCTCAGCAGCAGGTGCTCCACGACTTTTTTTCTGGTTTGTAGGCTTGACGACCTTTTCATCCTCGGGCTCTATTTCTGCAAGCAAGATACGAACACAACAGACATGTGCGATATCTTAACCCTTCACCGTTTCAGGTATATATACAGCAAAAACCGACCGTCATTATTCATGCCGTAACGTTTAATCAGCACAATGCACTGAACACAGAGGGGGTCTTCCGAACTTTTCTTCCGCATACTCGCCTAGAATAGGTGGTGTTGTCAGAGAGGAGACCCGCCACCAGAAAGCAACACATCCATATCCAGTCCCTAGTAGAATTCCTTCTTTAAAACCTTTACACTGTGAGCCAAGTGCATGAATTCATGATTTTCGTTCCCACTTTGGGTGTACCGCGATTTTGTTCTTTTAGCATGTGGGGAGACCTAATAGAAGATCATTTTTGATTGTTGTCAGTTTGGGAAGCTTGCAGGGAAGTCAAAATAAGCAATTATCTTAACATACCCCGTTTCCATAGCAACTACATAGCAACTGACATAGCAACATGCTATTTTGAAGGTGTTTCTTACTTTTTTCAGCAGGCAACAGCACTGGATGAAGAAATGTATATCAAGCGTCATTGCAGCTGGGTGAAAATAACTATACGAGCCAAAATTATAGAATTACGCATACCGGCATGTAAGTGCATTGTAGATTATCGCCCATTTGTTCGTTCATGCTTAACCTTTCTAGGGGCTCCCGTAAGAAGACCATAGGTCTGTGGGAAACACCCTAGTAAAGTAAATAAAATAATAATAATAATAATAATAATAATAATAATAATATAAAGTACGTGCACATTTTAAATATTACTTGAAGTGACGATGCACTGGTAGGTAAGTGCACATGAAATGGTGCCGACAACCACGAAATGCATTTCAGGAATGATAATGTACAGAAAAAAACAGGTGGCATTCAATATACAAAGCCCAGCAACAGCGAATTCTCCGGACAACGGCTGGAAAAGACCATCAACAACAACCAGGAGAATCTGGTTTAATCCGGTGCAATGCTCATTACACTTCTACATCTCTATAATATATACATGTACAGTATGGCAGAACAATGTTTTAAAAAGAAGTTGCTGGATACAGGATTTGTATATTTGCACTCATATAACTGATCAATGTAAAGTTACTTCGTAAGTACTGCTGTATTGCTTCCTAACTGAAGTGCAAAGAGTAGAGCAATGACTGTAACCAGTAACGTAAGAGGACCACAGGGGGTATACTGGTAGATACAGATCTGTAGTTTATTTGAATTATAATTAATTATTTTGAAACATTACCCATTGTACATGTATGTAGAGAACACAAGCGGAAAGATACATGCATATTCATGTTAATCATATTCTGAAGCACTTCAGTATAAAAGACCGAAACAGTTATTAGCTCTCCGGAGATAAGGTACATTGTACGTTCTACATGTACATGTATTTCTGCTCCAACAGATTACAAAAACCTTTAGTTTAGCTTGACTGATCAGCAGCAAGCATGCTAGCACACTGATATGATGGGTATGATGATGTTCGTACTGCCACTGCGCTGCACTAGCACTGCACACAATACTATAGAAACCACGAAAAAACATCGTCATGATGCGGCTGCCAGCTGGGTTTGCACCACCGTACATTTTAGCGAGGTCAGTGGTGCAACAGGAGTCCGCTCCAGCTCTTGTGACCTTGGTTCTTGTCGATGGCGGCTATTGATTTGGTCAAAGTAGTTTCTCCCTTCTATTTGGGCATGTTCGTGCCTGATTTGGAAGTGAAAACAAGCTGAATTCGTATCTAGTCGAGTAGATGAAACGAACTGGGGGGAAAAATTGCGGTACGCTCAAGGTCGGAACGAAAAAATATTCTAACAGGATTTTTGGTGCCTGGCTCACAGTCTACTTTCTGCATGGACAGTCTGGATTAGGTGATGCCTGTATGCATGTCAATTTTGATGATATTTGCACCCCCCCCCCCCCCCGACACGTTAGCTACGTGTACCCCTTTATGCACACATGGACATACATAGTTTTATGTACACTTACGCGCACACATGCATACACACCCACCCTTAAACACACACACGTCTGCGCAAACAGATATAAACAGACATGCACACACCACCGTCACTCCTCCTGCGGCAAACCCTGGTCAATGTTTCAAAGAAGGTTCAGAGAGCGCCCCCCCCCCCCCCTCTACCCTGACCCCATCCTCACTCTGAATGGGACATCGGTCTAAAGATTCTCAACTGACTTACTTTTAGGAGGTGGATACTGCACGGTGACCTGGAAGACCATAATGAAGGTTGCCTCAACCACCTTCTCTTCTTCTTTCCCATTTCTTTTTCGGTCCCTCTTTTTGTCGGGCTCCTTTGGCGCTGTCGTACGTCCTGGTTTAGTTCGTTGTCCTTTCTTTGCAGCTTGACCTTTCTTGGCTGGTGGGAGGCCAGCAGCCCGTTGCCCAGGTCCACCTCGTATGTTCTTATCGGAGGTTGCACCCTGCCGGCCGGGTCTGCTTAGGTCAGAGTGTACGTGCACTGTCGCACGGGACTGCCACGTGTCACCGTCCTGTCCAGCGGCTCTAGCTCCGCTGCGATGAGGTGATGCTGTAGCTTCTTGCTCGGCAGTATACGTTGCTTCTTCTTCTTCTTCTTCTTCTTCTTCTTCTTCTTCTTCTTCTTCTTCTTCTTCTTCTTCCTCTTCATCTTCATTTTCTTCTTCTTCTTCATCATCATCATCATCATCATCATCATTGCTGGATTCAGGCTCTACGGTCTCTTGTTCATCAGACCCTGGGGATTCAGTGCGCTCGTATAGCACGGGACTTGGAGACGGTGTCACTACAGCCTCCGCTTCCTCCTCCTGCCGCTTGCCTCTCACGTTACGAGGTGTTGCCGTGACAACTTGCCCCATGGGCTTGGGAGCTCGAGGGCGAGATGTCATGCCATCTTCTTCGCCGTGGTGTGCGGCTTGCGGGCGCGGCAATGCCGATGGTGCGGCATATTCCCCTCCGGCGATCATTGCATCCAGACCGCCTGGTGCTGTGTGTTCTCCACCACTGGATGTTGCCTTTTGAGCCACTGATACAAATTCCTGTTCACTGCCCTGCTCAGATTGAGAGTCGGAATGTGCAGCCTTCTGCTCTTTGCGCCTTGAACCTGCTTGATGAGTTTGGAGTCTCCGTCGTCTCCTTCTGACCCTCCCAGAGCTAATGGATGTCAATGAGTAAGCTGATCCTAGCAGGTCATCAGATGACCAGGACTCCTCCGTTCCACCTGATCGTCCACCATCAGACTCTGGCTGCATGTCTTCAGCATTGTCTGCAGCACCGATCGGGAAGTCTTTGCAGCGTGGTGTCAATTCTCTTGGAACAGTCACTCCGCCGTCATCTGTATCTGCACCGTTGACTGCTGTTTGCGGTGCTGTGGCTTCGATGACTACCTCAGGTGGACGATGCCGCTGTCGCTGTTTTTTCTGCTGCTGCTGCTTGTGCTGCTGTTGTTGTTGAGGATGTCGGTTAGTTTCTTGTACAGCAACTGGTTTGCTGACCAGACCAGCGGCCTCCTCTGCAGTGCCTTCCCAATCACCCGCGTACAGTATTCCACCATTCCGTCTTGAAGGCTGATGGTAATTGTCAGGATAAGGTGCCGTATCTCTGCTCTTGTGCAGCCCCTTCGCTTTCTTCTTGGTCTTGGTCCTTTCCTGTGGCATCTTCAAATGATCTCTGGATGTTCTAGAACACATACGTATAAACAAATCAAGCCAGGTTGCTCAGGTAGTCTAACTGCAGTAAAAGGCTGTGCCCAGCCCAACACAACAACACAGGAGTATATAGTATGGCCGTGAAACTTCACTTACTGTACAGTGTAGCATTGTATTCTGGATATTCTATTGGTACAATCATGTAGTATGCACTTCTCTTAGCATTGGACTCTGTGTTGAAGATGCTGCACATTCTAAATTATGGTCCCCATGCACCATGGGACCCACGATATCAAACCAGCATATGTGGGGATTACCCTATTTAAAATTCAGTAATAAAAATAATAATGAGTTTCACAGTACCCACTGCTGCTGTGCAGGGGGCTATGAAGTTCAAGAGCTATGGGTCCACAGAACATGTGCCACGGCACTCCCCGATCAAACATGGCTGTTTGTTTGCGCCGGAATGCTTCTATTGCTTGCCGGCAGCCCGCTTCTACGTCAACACATTGAAATCTGACGGACTACACTACTTTGCCATATTAGGCATGTGTAGACCAGACCAGTTTTCACTCAAGAAATCACGGCAAAACTACTGTTGTGGGCATTGAAATCGGGTGGTATGATCGGGTGGTATGATCGGGTGGTATGATCGGGTGGTATGATCGGGGCCGGCGCCCTTACTGCCTTAGCACCTACTTACACCCACTGCAACACTGTAAAATGGACCCGCGGTGCTCACGGCTGCGAGGCCAGCGCCCCGTGGCCGCTTGACTTCTCAACGGATTGCAATGTCAACAACAGTAGCTTCGTATTCACAGCACGTACCGATTCTTCGGGAGAACATTCACATGCCTTACACTCATGAGTATCTTACCCGGGCCTCGAAGTTACGGCCACCTCATGCTGGCAATCTGTAGTGGAACTCTACTACTCTTCCAACCTCAAATTTTGAGGAAATAGTGACGTCATATTCCAGATCTTTGGCCCCTTCCCCATTGAAACATCATGCAATTCAGATTCACGGCCATTTCAAAGTTATAGGCAGTGCCCGGTCCCGGACCGCCCGGATAAGCGACATACTGTAAACCGTGAAATTATTGCGATGGTCTAATTTCTGCGAAATTCGCGACCGCATGGAAATCGCGAAATTTAGACAGCGCGAAAAGGAGATCCATGAAAGGTTTAGCAAGAATGGCACCGGTTTAGCAAGAATGCCATTCTGCAATCGCAAAATTAAATCCTCGCAAACCTGTCCGGATTCTGAAAACGCGAACTAAAAACGCCGCGAAAATTTCACGCTTTACAGTACCCCCCTACTCGGCTCCAATCTGCCATGGGCCTGTGCGTGCCAGGTTCCCATTCGGTTGCGGGGCGGGGGCGCTTTGCTTTCAAGGGTAAGGGTGCTGTTTTATGGAATGCCCTCCCCAGCGACATCCGTGCCATCCATCACGCTCGGCAGTTTCGCACGCAGATAATCCCCTATCCCTGTGCCCTGTAGATGCTGAAGACAAGCGAAATCTTCTGTTTTCTGTTCTCTTTCTGTTGTGCCCGATCTCCCTCTGATGCACCGCTGACTCTACGCTGAAGATCTAATTCTCATTCTCATTATAATTTTCATATTCGCTTTCATGTTATTGGGTTCTATGCCCGTTAGAATTGGCGAATCAAAATAAATACAAACACACAAACAAGAGGGTGTGATCAATTCAATTCCCAATTTACCCTCCAGGCATTGAAATGAGTACAACTCTCATGTACACGTACCATGATCACCACGCGTTATCTTGGGTACAGATTGAAGAAACATTGATGTTCGCTGCTCTTAGTTAGTTACTTGGCAAACCGTACCACTTTTGCTTACTTTGTTCAGTAGTTTGGGAACTTGAGAAGTTGAGGCTGTGGCTGCTCAAGTAATTTATGGCAGAACGGGTCGCCAGTGTGCACCGGTGTCTCGTGACAGACTCAGTGCTATCGGCTCGCACAGGTCCGCTCACTGGCCAGCCACTGATTGGAGGAAATCAATACTACTAGTCGGATGTCCAAGGACAGTTAGATGTTGCCGGCCTCGCTACCCCGTGGCCGGTGGCTGTTGTTGATTGGTTCGCCTTCGTTGCCGGCCTCGCTACCCCGTGGCCGGTAGCTGTTGTTGATTGGTTCGCCTTCTCTTCGGTGAAGTCTTCATCAGCTTACCACGCGTACTGCTGTGCACGGCGGGGTCATCTCAGTGTGGACGTGGCATAGCTGGAGCGGCAGCAACGCTCGGACTCATCATCATAATCATCATTGAAACCCGTCAGCAGTTCATGGTCGTGACTGCGAGTATTCTCGGTCCTCTCACTGTCTCAGCCTTCATGCACGCCTAACTCAGTAACTGCACTGTACCTTTGCCAACTAACTGTTACTTTCGCATTCGCCGTTCACGCATAGTTCCGCTAGCTGCTCAGAGTGTTGGACTGCACAATTTAAATGTACAAGCATACAATGTAGTTATTGAAAAGATATCTCCTGCTCGGCGGACGTGCCATTACTCTTTCCAATTGACCAAGTAGTCCAGGGATAAAATTCAAATTGGGTGGATTCACAGCGCAGCAGTCTGTAACCAGGGAGTATTTTAGTGTGACATTTTCAATTTTAGATCATTCAAGAGCGATCGCAAGTGGCAGCAGGTCGGCTGCTGGCACTGTTATGATGTTACATGTTGTACACATTCTATGGTCGTATCGGCGTGTCTGCTGTCACTCCCGAGTGTCAGCTGCAGCCTATACACGCGCCTGGGCGATGGAAGACTTTCGGCAACAGCTAGCAGGGTCCAGGCCCAGGCCAGGGCCCTAGACCAGCGTCCCTTATACTAAGTTATAGTACCTAGTACCTATGACTAAGCGCTATGTCCTTTACTTGCTTTTTGGCTTTAGTCCTTCGCGGTCATAACCCTGGCCGGCCCTAGCCCTGGCCTGGTGGTTGGTTCAAATAATAATATTAATAATTTACAATGCCAATGCCAATGGTTGACAAGCTCTGCACCGCGCCGGTCTGTCGCAAATCTCAGTCATGGCATGCATGACCATGAATGTCCTTGATGACAGTCTGTGCTTGATCAGCGCTCCTGCACGCCATGTCCATGGTCACCATTGTTATGGTAGCGCGCTGTACACCATGGTACACTTGGTAGATCTACAACTAACTACAAGACTTTTTTTCTTTTTTTTTTATATTCTTCGGAAAACACTGAATTGAGACAAAATATGACGCCATGCTAGACTAATGTCAGTAATCATGGTAATGACTATGTGGAAGGTAATACCGCAGTAATGAGAGTTCACATAATAATACTTAATAGCAGCAATTCATCATGTATCGTGTTTCAAGACTGTGTTCGAAACTTCATAGCAGTTTCTCCAACTGCAAGAATCGTGCAATATTGTAGGGAGAGTCGGCTACAGCTTGACTGACGGATGAAGACGACTGAAGAGCTGCAGAGTGGCGGCTTTGTGCTCTTCCTGGGCAGTCGAAAAGGAAGTGTATTGCATCCTCGACGACGCCAGGGCAGAAGACACAGTGAGGCGAGTCTGCAGCTCCAATGCGGTGGAGGTAGCCATTCAGAAGACTACAGTGGCCGGTCATCAGCTGGTTCAGCTTGCAGGACGCTTTCCGTGTCCGAAGGTCACCGAGCTTCTTGGTGTCGAGCAGTGGTGGCGGGTACCGTGTTGCCTTGCGGACTGCAGTCTTGGTGGCTTGCACTGGAAGACGGACGTGACCCTGGGGAACCTGGGTACCAGCCGCAGCCAGGCGATCTACTTTGTCATTGAGGAATAAGCCACAGTGACTGCTAACCCAGACAAGGTGGATGCTGGTAACAAGCTGGCTAATGCTCTTGATAGCCTCAAACACAGGAATCGTATCTGGGCTCATACGGTACGGATCGCCGGCAACAAAATCAGTCAACGAACGACTGTCCGTAACGAGGATGAGGTCTGGCAGCGAGGGTTGATCATCTGTGTTGGTGAGGCCAGCCGTAAGTAGATCTCCTGCCGCAGAGAGACCGGCCACTGCTGCAGTTACCTCGGCGGGGAAGTTGCTACCACGCCTGCAGGATCGCTTCCACTGCACACTTCACTGTCTTCAGAGCGTTGGCCATCAGTTGACCAGGGTCAGGGAGCCTACACAATCATACTGCCACACTGGTATGTGTAGGGCTCCCTGTACATCATGGACATGGTACCATAACCGGTATGATTACGGTATGTACCGTCGTGACGTAACACACTGCACAGGCTGATGAAAAAAATGAAAAAACCCTGCAGAGCTAAAAGTACATAAATTACTCTTGATGCATCGCTTTTTGATGCATCGCGATAATTTTTTTGCCAAAAATTATTATTATTTTGCTAAACTATGAAAATAATCGTACGGACAAATCTTCACTTTCTCAGTTTTTTGTTTCTGTTTGCTTGTTGTGAATAATGAGTTTGGGGAGGCCATTCTCACAACTAATTATTTGTCGCAATTTTCATTCTCTGAAAAGCAACTTCATCATCTCTAGAACCATGTCTTCATCACCTGATGCCAAGAGGCCCGCATGGAATAGGGAAGAGGATCTCCCGACTTTGATCAGTAATGAGTGGGCGATGGTGGACGGTCGTGACGCGATCAAGAAGACATACAACTTCTCTGATTTCAATGCTGCTTTCGGATTCATGACGAGAGTTGCACTGAAGGCCGACCAGATGAACCATCACCCAGAGTGGTTCAACGTCTACAATCGCGTTGAGGTCACGCTTAGTACTCACGACGTCGGTGGACTATCTGCCAGGGATGTGAAACTGGCGAAATTCATGGATAAAGTGTACACGAATTGAACAGTGGACAGTGAATGATTAATGGTAGCTGGCTGAGCTGATTTGTGTTGAGAAGTTGCCAGGGGTTCACCCATCCTTCCTATGTGGAGTATCACAGACTATGCCCGAGTCATGCACATCTCTTGTGAGTTACATTAATTTTCATCGATGACATTCATCCAGCGTTGTTTTGTATTGTTTTTTTTTAGTAGTTTTAGCGTTTTTATTTAAAAAATAATTCTTGCGAAGACTAGCTAGCAGGCCAGCATTCTATATTTCTAGTGCCTTTGTGCATACACCCTTTCATCCACGTGAGGCCTGATGATGATGGTGACGTCCTCCTTTTGCCTGCAATTACTAAGTGGCCACGTGTTGTCCGCTTTACGAATACTATGGCTATACAAGGATGTGCGATTTGACAAGGTCTGGGTCGGGAGAAGAAAGCCATGACCTTCGATCGAGTCTGATTGCATGATAGGAACGGTCCAGTCTTAGCAGCTTGGGAAAGGTTCTCTGAGCCAGTCTGTTTGTCTGAAGTATATGATCAAGAGCGGGGGCGTCGGACACGCTACAAGTACGGTCACTACCGTATTGGCTGTACCACTCTTCGTCCCACGTGCCCTGTGAAGCAATAAAAGCCACTGAACTGATTTGGGCTCTAAAATTCGAAAATTTTCAGAGAAGCAACCCAACCCCACAAGTAATTGTACTTCAAGTGGTTGACTGTACATGTACCAGCCTAAAATACCTTGCAATGCCCCTGATCAAGACTCTATAGCCAACAGCATGACACACCATGTGCTACTAGTAACTGTGAATTGTTTCCATGGATACTGGGACAGCTGAATGGCACGCTGTCTTGATGACATCATGCACCTTCATCAGCACATTGCTGTGAATGGAAAATCCCGCTACGTTTCAAAAGCGCCAGCTAGCCGTTGGACTGTACTGAAGTCTGTGCACCCAGAGTCTGTGGTTGGCACCAGAGTTTGAACACATCAAGCTAAAGTGTGCATGCTGACGCTGCCCGTCGCGTGGTCATTCAGCGTACGAATACAGCTGGGTATGATGTACTATGATGAGTTACGCCATGAAGGCAGTGTGACACACGCTGACCCATAATCACAATTGCGTACAGTAGGATCGCACGCTGAGGAAAGTCCAGCCTAAAAATTTAATGATAAAATGGCATAAAAATGCCATAGCCTTTCAAGTTGATATTGGCAGTGTTGGTTTTCTGGCCACTTTTGTAATACATCTGAATGTAATATTTGCCTACTTATGATTCAAGCGGTAGTTTGGAGGCGGAGAAAAACAGTTTCGCGATCTGCACCTTCGCATGCAAAGACGCACATCCACACAATTCAGTAAACATCTCCTTCTATCAAACGTTTTCTTTCCCTTCTCTTCAGGATAGTACAGGGAATGTTGGAAATTTGGAAAAACACATAACTATAGAGAAAGAAAGAAAAAAGTCAACACTTCAACATAGGCGATATAATGTTTTAAACAGTGTTTAAAAAAACTAAAACAAAAGCTGCAAGTTGTAGACAAACACGTTGAACACATCATGAAACACTTGTCACACTTTCACGAGGTGTGACACCAAACAACTGCAACGATAACACTTTCTCCTTCTGTACTCATATTACAACTCCTGCTGTAGTATCGCCTCCGGCGATGGGCGTCAAATGGTCCCAAATGGTGTGCAGGTGTGTGTGTGTGTGTGTGTGTGTGTGTGTGCACTCACTGGTTACCCCTACACTCACTGGTTACCCCAGCAAGTGTAGGGTGTGCATAGGTAACTGTCTTGGCCGTCCTATTCCGATGTATTCGGTGTGGTGTAGACCAGGTGTGCATTGGGGGGTCGATTCACATGGCTTCGCCAGTTGTGTGGATTAGACAGTTATCTGGCGCTTGTCTTGATCTGTCTCAATCAGAATCAGATCCGCTATCTTTGCTATAAAGAGAAAATCTGTGGGTGCACATCCGGTGCATTTGCAGATTTGCGTGCTTCTCTTGCGACGGGCGTATGCATGGTACATGGTGTGCGTGCATGTGTGTGTGTGTGTGTGTGTGTGTGTGTGTGTGTGTGTGTGTGTGTGTGGCTGACTGTGTGTGTGTGTGTGTGTGTTTGACTGTGTGGGTGTGTGTGTGTGACTGTGTGTGTGTGACTGTGTGTGTGTGTGTGTGTGTGTGTGTGTGTGTGTGTGTGTGTGTGTGTGTGGTGTGTGTGTGGTGTGTGTGTGTGTGTGTGGTGTGTGTCAGCTGTGTGGTGGATACCAGGCTAAAAATAGTGGCGGTCAATTCATCAGCCTTGCAAGCTGTTGAATGGTGTAATCCCAGCACAAGTTGCTATGTCTATCATAGCTGTTCGCTATCATCGCTATCATCGCTTCCGCGATGAGGTCTGAGATGTGTGTGTGTGTGTGTGTGTGTGTGTGTGTGTGTGTGTGTGTGTGTGTGTGTGTGTGTGTGTGTGTGTGTGTGTGTGTGTGTGTGTGTGTGTGGCAACAGCCAGTGCATGCCGGAGTATGTGGTGTGATGTGTGTGTGGGAAAAAAAAAAGAAAAAAAAAAAAGAAAAAAGAAAAAAGACCAAAAATAGGGATTCACTGGCCAGAAAAAGTCACTTCAAATAGCTGTATGGTGTAGACCAGGCTGAATAGTGACGGTCAATTCTTCAGCCTTGCAAGCTGTTGAATGGTGCAATCCCAGCACAAGTTGCTATGGCTTCTGCCGTAGCATTGCTATCATCGCCTCCGGCGATGGGCGTCAAAGGTCAAAGGTGTGTGTGTGTGTGTGTGTGTGTGTGTGTGTGTGTGTGTGTGTGTGTGTGTG